TTAATAAATCACAGAAGAAAACTCTCCAAATCTAGAGAAAGATATCCTTCAAGGTACAAGAAGAATACAGAACACCAAGTAGACAGGACCAGAGAAGAAAATTACAGGTCAATTATAGGTGAACATAGATGCAAAAATGCTCAGTGAAATACTTGCAAACTGAATGTAAGGACACATCAAAAAGAGTCACCATGATCAAGTTGGCTTCATCCCAGAGATGCAAGGATGGTTCAACATACGCAAATTAATGAATCTAATCTTCCACATAAACAGACTCAGGACAGAAACCACATGATCATCTCATTAGATGCAGAAAGAGCCTTTGACAAAATTCAACATTCCTTTATAATAAAAGTCATGGAGAATCTGGGGATACAGGAGGCATATCTTAAAATAATAAAGGCAATATATAACAAGTCTATAACCAACATCACACTAAAAGGAGAAAAACTCAAACATTTCCACTAAAATCAGGAACGAGACAAGGATGTCCACTTTCCCCATTTCTGTTCAATTTAGTGCTTGAAGTTTTAGAGTAATAAGACAAGTGAAAAAGACAATTTCAAGGGATACATATTGGAAAGGAAGAAATTAAAGTATTTTTATTTGCAGATGACATGATTCTATACATAAAAGACCCTAAAGACTCCACCAGAAAACTCCTAGAGTTGATAAATGCATTCAGCATAGTAGCAGGATACAAAATTACACACAAAGTCAGTAGCCTTCTTATATACCAACAGCAAACATACTAGAAAAAAATTAGGGAAATGATCCCATTCACAATGGCTTCAAAAATTATAAAACATCTTGGAATAAATCTAACCAAGGAAGTAAAAGACTTATAAAATAACATTAAGACATCAAAGTAAGAAATTGAAGAAGCTACCAGACGATAGAAAGACCTCTCATGCTCATGGATCAGTAGGATTAATAATTGTGAAAATGACCATCCTACCAACAGCAAATCTACAAATTCAATACAATACCTATTAAAATTCCAAAGCAATTTTTATAGAAACTGAAAAAATAATACCAAATTTCATATGGAAATGCACACACACAAAAAACAGGATAGCCAAAGTAATCCTGAATAATAAAAGAACGGCTGGAGGCATAACCATTCATGATCTCAAATTACACTACAGAGCTATTAGAAATAAAACATCATGGCACTGGCATAAAAACAGAAACATTGATCAGTGAAATAGAACTGAGGACCCAGATTTAAGTCCAGGCATTTACAGTCACCTAATTTTTGACAGAGGAGACAGAAACAAAACAAAAGAACACTGGAGAAAAGACAGCATGTTCAGCAAATGATGCTGTTCAAATTGGACAGTTGCATAGAAGAATGAAACTAGATCCCTATCTCTCACCATGCACAAAACTGAACTCTAAATAAATGAAGGACCTTGACATAAGACCTGAAATCCTGAATCTGATAGAAGAGAAAGTAGGGAATGTACTGGAACTTAGAGGCACAGGAAAGGACTTTCTGAACAGGACTCTTATTGTGCAGTCATTAAGTCTAACAACTGACAAATGGGGCCTCATGAAACTAAAAAGAAAAGGACATCATTAGAGTGAAGAGGCAACCTACAGAATGCGAAAAAGTCTTTACCTATGACAGAGGGTTAGTATCTAGAATATACAAAGAACTAAAAAATCCTAAATGTCAAAAGGCCAAACAACCCTATTTAAAAATAGGGTAAGGTCCTGAACAGGGAGTACTCAAAGATGAAATGCAAATGGCTGAGAAATATCTAAGAAAATGTCAAAAATCTTTAGTCAACCATAGATATGCAAATTAAAACTACTTTGATATTTCATGTCACCCCACTCAGAATGGCTAAGCTTCAAAAAAACAAATAAGACCCAATGCTAGCCTGGTGAGGATGTGAGAAAGGGAACCTCTTACCCACTGCTGATGTGAGTGCAAACTGTTGCGGCCAGTAAGGAAATCAGTGTGGAGATTCCTCAAACTCTAGAAATTGAGCCACTATATGAACCAGTCATATCATGCTTGGGCATATACCCAAAAGATTCTATATGCTACTAAAGAGACATACAGAAAGCTACCACTACAGAAGCCCCTCCTCCTCCTCCTCTTCCTCCTCCTTCTGTCTTTTTGAGACAGGATCTCCCTAAGCCTGGAACTCACTATGTAGACCAGGCTGGCCTCTGCCTCCCAAGTGCTGGGATTAAAGGCATGCACCACCACATCCAGCTTATAGAAGCTTCTTAAAGTAAATACATATACATTATAAAAAGAGATTAAAAGGAGTTACCTTATAACAGAGGGACATTCCCCTACTAGACACCATAGATTAGCAAAGTAAAAGCCCAATACCAGGAATGGACTCCCTCTTGTGAAGCTGTATTCAGGAGTCCCGTAGACCCTCTAACAATACTGGCCATTGCCTCTGCTCTTGGTTACCCACTAGAACTTGATGGTAAGTCCCTATTGCTGAAGATATTACATACATGAACCATAGAACAACAAGGAGAAATCAAATCTTCCTCTCTGCTGATTAGCTTTCATAGTGCTAGAAGGTGCTATTCATTCTGCCAGAATTAAAAAATATCCATCAACTTTTCCAAGCTATGAATCCTGTGTAGTTCAACAACTGGCCTGGCAAGACATGCCCTCTGGTGTGATAGTCGCATGAATATTACATCAACAACCAACCACTTTCTTTCCTTTTTAGGGGGGCTATTTTTGAGACAGGGTCTCCCTGTAGCCCCAGCTGGCCTGGAACTCACTATGTAGACCAGGCTAGCCTGGAACTCACAGAGATTCTCCTTTCTCTGCTTCCTGAGTGCTAGGACTAATGGTGTGTGCCACCACGCCTGGCACCAACCACTTTCTAATTGAATTTAAGGTCTGCTTTATAGGATGCAGCCCATACATGAAATTGATATGAGGCTTAGAAACTTGTGGCTAGACAGGTCAAAGGCCATAAGCTGTGGAAGAGCTAAATACTATTATTCTGCTAAATAAATATACTATTAAAATGACTCCTAAAGACTTATTGTTGTACCCATAGATCAATGCATCTCTCAACTCTCACTAGAGAAGCTCTCTTACACAGCAGATGGGATTAACACAGAAACTTACAACTGGTCAATGAGAATAAGAGACTGTAGAGTGCTTGTCCCTGAATAGGACACCTATATCAAACTTCTGCTCCCAAGGCTCAGGGATCATTGTGGAAGAGGGAGAGGAAAGACTGTAAAAGCCGGAGGAGGTGGATGACCATAAGGAAACAGAATTTTCCAGACAGCTGGGAAGTTACTCATATGAACTCATAGCAAGGTGACAGCATGCACATATATAAGCTCAAACCAATAAAAAAATCTCAGCATATATTTGGAGAAGTGGGTAAGAAACCCCAACCCTACCTGAACCAATGGCTGCTGGGAGGGGGAGAGTCAGTCTCCTTTAAGGGTGTGACTCTTGGTAGGTTAATCAGACTCCAGTAGATGGACTCACACAGAAGGGCATTTGGATATACAAATTTGGCTCTACAGGCCATAGAATAGAGCATATGAAATTGGGCAGTGTTAGTAAGAGGGGTGAAGATGGGGAAGGGATCTATATACGATACAAATATATCGTATGACATTTGTAAAAATCCAATTAAAAAAGGAAAAAAATTGTCATTACAAGATTTGTGTAATATCAAGCCAGCCAAAATCTCAGAAGGAATGAGTGATAGCTCTAGGAAGCCCTACCTACATGAGGAGATACTGATAACTGTTGGCTGCTCAGGGAGGGATGAGGCCCCTGAGAGGCTACCCATGCTCTAGTGATGGTCATACATCTATACACAGAATTTCAGCACTAAGTGGACACCATAGGTTTACAAAAAAATTAACACATGAAATTGAGAGGAAATAGTGTTGGAGCAAATAGGGGAGGACCTGGATGGGAGGAAATGGGGAGATGGAATTCATCAAAGCATATCATATGCATGTATAAAATTCTCAATAAAAAGAAATAAAATATAATAAAATAGACAAAAAGTAAAGAAAAACCATGATCCTCTTGCTTTAGCCTCCTGAGTGCTTGGATTACATGTGTGCATCACTGTGCCCAGCCAGAAATAATCACTTTTAAATATGCATATATTAATATTTATTTATGAAATAGTCTTACTAATTACTTAGTGAAAACAACAAATTTCTTCTTATAATTGAACACTTCTAGAGAGTTTTATGCATAGAAAGTAAATGAAAATAATTTTGAAGATTCACAGAAAAGGGGAATCAATGGTAAAGGGCTTATCTAGATGCCCAAATTCTTTGGCTTAATCCCAGAACTTGAAAAAGGAAACCATGGGCTGGAAAGATGGATCAGCAGTTAAGAGCACTGGCTACTCTTGCAGAGGATGTGGGTTTGGTTCCCAGCACCTACATGGCAGCTAACAACCATCCAGTTTCAGGGGATCTGATGCCCTCTTCTGACATCTGTGGGCATTATGTGATGTAGGTGCACTTACACACATGTAGGCAATACACTGATACACATAAAGTAATAAAATATTAAAAAAGAAAACCACAGAAAAGAAACATTTTCTTATGAAATCTTAGACATTGGGAATAGAAAATCCTGAAAGTAGTTTGTATTCAATTGAGTCAGAAAAAGACATGAAATTGCCAGGTATGGTAGTACATTAGAGATGCTGAGACAGGAGGACAATGAATTCAAGTCCAACCTGAGCTATATAGCAAGTTCTAGTCCAGTCTGGACTACAAAGTGAGACTTTGTCTTAAAAGGCATGCATGTTGTTCTAACCAAAAATGATATCTAACCATGATGAGAGGAAAGCTAGACAGGAAGGGTACCATGGGAGGAAGGAGATGAAAGAAATAAGGACGTGTCTTTGATAGTGTGAATCAGAGGAGTGGGCTAAGATAATGTGAAGACAAAGTAGGGGGGGATGAGGGAATAGCTGTTTAAGTGCATTGAAAGTCAAGGCATTCATTTTACTCACTTGGGAGAAAACCTGGTGTGATCTTCTAATGAGTTGTCACCTTCCTTCCAGTTCTCCACACATCCTCCACAGGAAAAACACTGGACAGTGTCCTTTTTGCCTAGAAGAAAAGAATATGATTGGTGTCGATAGCACATACATTTGTCAACTCACAGATAATAACCACTAGGTTTCCTTGGGGAAATCCTACTTGCAGCTCCAATTAGTTTTTTTTTTTTTTTCAAAGTCATAAATTGGTCATCAGGGGCAATGGTCCATATAGGATTCTTGGTTCTTCAAAGGGATGATTGGCAAACAGCTACTGAAAGTTCCTGAGCATCGTGTGCTCTGATGAACACCCTCTGCCAGACCTGTTATCCTGAGAGAGCTGCAGTTAGAATCTGGAACATAGGCTCCATGACAGAGAAGTGATTTCTGTATGATTTGGACACTGATGACTCTCACAGACTTATGTAATCAATAAGCATTTGGCTAAATCAGAAAGAATATCTTTAGAGCTTTGTAGGGGCAGGGGATCACAAAAGCAAATTTAGGAGCCTTCATGTAATCAAGACCATAAAGAATTAAATGGTTCATCCCACATTATAGTCAGGTATATTCTACCAGAAATAAAAACAGTGGCCCAGGAGACTCAAGGAAGGCTGACAAGAGGAAGACACATTAGAGGGCAGAGAAAAAGGACTAAGAGTGAAGTGAGAAGATTGTGCCTTGGAAAATGTCTGCTAGATAAAATGACTGTAGAATCCCCCATTCTATGGGGCTGGAGAGATGGCTCAGCGGTTAAGAACACTGGTTGTTCTTGCAGAAGACCCAGGTTTGAATCCCAGCATCCACATGGCAACTAACAACCATCCATAACTCCAGTCCCAGGGGATCCGACAGCCTCTTCTGACCTCCACAGGCATTGCACGACACGGGTGCACTTACCATATGCAGGCAATACACACATACACATAAAATAAAATAAAAAATTAAATAAATTTTAAGAATGCCCCATTCTAGCCTTTTCTGCTGTAATTGTGATACCTATGTAATCACTCAGGGAAAAATCTGCATGAAACTCCGTAGTAACCCCCTTGTCCTTTAAGGACAATACACTTGGCTCACGAAGAGTTAACAGACTTCTCTGGACTTTTGTTGAGGTAGAAGCTTGAGAAGGAGGCAGTCTGTTCCCAGAATGCTGGGAAGACCAGACAAGCTGTCCTTGGAATACCAGGGCAGGTGTTGTCCCTTGTTTATGTTTCTACGTACATCAAAGGAGATCTGAGCCAATTTCCACTACCATTTCCTTGGATGCACTGCGACTGCTTTCCCACCTTTATGATGGGAAAATTCCTATGTGTTTTTCACTATTTGAGCACTTACCATATGTAAACTCTGTGTGGACTTCAAGCACTGAACTTCCAATAAAAGCTCTTCCTTCCTTCCTTCCTTCCTTCCTTCCTTCCTTCCTTCCTTCCTTTGCAGTTTTTTTTTTTTTTATCTTTTTGAGACAGGGTCTCCCTGTAGCCCCAGTTGGACTGGAACCTGTAGACCAGGCTGGTCTCGAACTCACAAAGATCCACCTGCCTCTGCCTTCCAAGTGCTGGGACTAAAAGCGTGCGCCACCAAGTCAAGCCCCAGAGTGTCATTTCTAATGACAAGTGGATAAAGAGAGAATAGAAGGAACTGGTGGCAGATTCTCCATGCTTTGGAATTAAGGAAATGAGTTTCTAGATTTTTCTCCTCTAAACATTATGTGGCAAAGATTAGGCTCTATGTCCCATTCTCGCCCACTCTTGCATAGTAATAGAAACCACAGTTTGTGTGTCTATGTTGTGTTCATGTGTGTGTATGTGTCTGTGTATTTGTGTATGTCTGTGTATTCATATGTGCCAGAGATCAAAGTCAAATTCTTTCCTCTGTTCTCCACTTAAAAAATGTTATCTATTAAAAACCATTATTCTGTGCATAGCAAACGATGCCACGATAAAACTCCTTGAGAAAGCTATATGAATGCTAGAATTTTAGGCGTGTCACCACACCTGGCATTAACCCTAGAACTTTTTTTCTTTTTTACTTTGTTCTGTTTTTGAGACAGGCTCTCACATAGCCCAGGCTGGCCATTAATTCGATATCACACTCTAGGTTGGTGTTGAACTCCTGTCTCCACTCCAAGTGCTGGATTACAGGTATGAGCCACATACTCAGCTAATCATAAAATTTTTGCTCTGGTATTCTCATCCTTATACTGTCCAGTGTCCCCTTTCCCTCATGTGTCCCCATATCCTCTGGTAACTGAACTCTGGGCCTGACACACTTGCTAGATAAGCACCTGATCACTGAATTGAATCATCCACCCCAACTTTTTATTTCTTGAGATGCAGGGGATGGAAAAGAAGGCTTCTTCCCATGCTATGCCCACGCTCTACACTGAGCTATATCCTCAGACCTGCTACTTCATTTTAATGTGAATATTCCTTAATTTGTTAACAGCACAATGAGTCATTTAACAATGCTTTTAGATTGGGGATGTAGATCATTTGGAAGAGTGTATACTCAGCGTGAATGAAGACCTGGATTCTCGCCCCAGGACCTGATAAACTGAGTGTGGTGGTACATACCTGGAACCCCAGCACTTAGCAGGTAGAAGCAGGAAGATCAGAAGCTGAAGGTTATTCTTGAGTCAGAGACCAGTCTGGAATATGAGCATCCTTCAGATGCTTTCCAAATATTTTATCCACAAATTTTAGTTGTTTTAGGAAAGTGTCAGTTAAAGCTTGACCCTGCCATATTTAGCTATGCTTTAGCCATGCTCACCTACACTGAAAACTAAGTCACTCAAGGTGGCTCAGTGTGTAAAGGTGCTTGCTGCTAAACCTGATGTCCAGAGTTCAATGCCCGGTACCCACATGGCAGAAGGAGAGAACCAACTCCTGCAAGTAGTCCCCTGTCCTCCAAACATGCACACATGGGCACCTGTATTCACACAAACACACACAAAATGATAAAATGTGAAATGAAATAAAAATAAAAAGCAAAGTCACTCTGTAAGAACAAAAAGCACATGAAAAATTTAAAAAGAGAGCTATGTGCTACGAAATGAAGAGACTAAGAACAGGAGGAAAACTAGAAGAAACAAATGAGCCAAGCCCCTGGAATGTGGCTGAGGTTTTACCTGATGCCATAGGTAATTCTCTTTTGACCCAGGAATTCACAAAATGTTCTCCCTAAAGAAAACAAATTCAAGTTATTGTTTTACAAAATATGCATCTACTGTGAGTCAGAATTGAAGAACTTCCCCCTAAGATGAAGTTTCATTAGAGGCAGTTGTTGGTGAAGCATTTGTTACATTTTTATTTGATTCCCATTTATTTTGGAAATGTTTTGTGCAGTGCAAAACAACAGAGAATGTTTCCCTGTAGCCACCTGGAACCTTCTCAGGGTCACGCTTTTTTTTTTTTTTTTTTTAATTTTAAAAAAAAATATATTTATTGAGAATTTCACACATGCATATAATGTGTTTTGATCAAATTGACGACAGGGTCACTCTTACCAGACACCCAGCTCAAAAACAGAACTGCAGTCAGACACCACAGAGAGATTTTGACTAAGGAGGAATTAAGACACAAGAAGGAAGCTGACTTCAGAAGGGGCTTTCCAATTCAGCAACTAACCCTTCTGGGAAAATTGCACCCAAATTTTTCCTGAGAAACCACCACCCTCTTCCCTGACTTTCAGTCCACTTTCTCTGTGGGGTTCTGGTCATCTGAGTCAGTTAGCTAACATATTCTCTTTGCTTAAGCTTTGAGCTGGGTTTCCCACCACTCCCCACTAGAGATTCCTTAATAGTTTAAATGCTAAATAAGCAGCTGGAACGAGCCAGCTCTGAGGCCCTCTACTGAGCCAGGTGCCAGGTCAGAAGGCTAAATCAGGGATTCAGATGGAGCAAAGGGAAGCCAGGGCAGTGGCCTTGTAGAACCCTGAGACCCTCTTCATTCACCCGCTACCCCCTAATCCCTCCAGACCCCCACTAATTACTCTTTTAGCTTCTGTAAAATGCTTGGTTGCTGCTTTAGACATGCCTAGACATGCCCTGGCATGCCCTGACCCCCGCCTGCTATTCCCCACCCCCCTTCTAGGAAACTGTAGATTAAGCAAGCCCGAGCACAAAAACTGCCCTATAAGGTAAAAACAGAGACTCCTGTCCTGGTCCGACAGGTAATAGTCAGCACATTCCACAGCCCTGAGAATAGCACCTACCAATAAGAAACTTCTAGGGCTGCATCTTATACATCCAATCGGTTTAAAATCATGTTGGCATGCGCGGGCTCCTTGAACCAACCAAAATGTATCTTCGGTATCCCTCCCCACCCCCTTTGTCTAAAACCTATAAAAGGCTCCACTCTCCCTTACTCTGGGCTTTCAGTACGGATCCGTTGAGTTGGTGAGGTCTGAGAGCCAAGCTTAAGCCCGAATAAACCATAAACCTTTGCTTTTGCATTTTGGTGTGTTGGGTCCTTGGTGGTCTTTTTGGGGTCCAGTGGATGAGGTACAACAGCCTCAGAGAAGAGGGAGGATGAAGGGGGCAGAGCCAGTGCAAAGCCAGCCTTGGAAGAGCAATTCTAAGTGGGTCCAGCTTAGCAAAACAAGGTGATTCCCCCCCACTCTGCAGAGGAGAGGTGGAGGAATGAAAGGAGGAGGAAGAAAGACACAGAACCCAAGAAAGAAATAGAATACCTCTCTCTGTGATTCAAATATTATTAGGTAATCAAAAGGAGACTTGGGAGAAAAGGTTTCCAGTTACAAATTACCGTCACATGAACAAATCCCTCATAGCTTTGAATATACTGTGCAATTTCTTCTGAGGATTTCTTACTTTGAAGATATTCACATCTATAATAAAAAAAAGATTTATCCCAACAATGTGATAGAGATGGCCCATATACAATGAACAATTGTTAAAACCTATCAAATTGTTGAGTTTTATATTTCAATAAAACTGTTAAGAGAGTGCCTGTGTGGCCTCCATCTGGAGGGGCTGAGAACCCAGGGGACTACCTGCAAGCACCTGGACCTGCCCCCACATGGTGGTGAGCTTCCCCAAACCCCTGCCTTACCCAATCCCCTAACTGGTACTACATGAGGTCCCTCCCAAGATCCTGGGGCAGGCCTCTGCCATTCAGTAGGATAAAGCTGAGATCTCAGAAGACCTGCCAGGCCAGTGTGCCTGATCCAGCCTTCCTCTGGCATAGGGGCTGAAAACTCCAGACCACCTAAGAGTCCCAAAATTGGCTTCCACTTAGGGAACTTCCCAATTTTTTCCCTGAGTTCCTACTAGTGGGGGTCCAAACCTTAGAAGGAAACCTGTGTGTACCTAACTGGAACCTTACTTGGGCTTCTGTGAGAGCTCCCGAGTAGCTGATCTGAAGTCATCAGTTCCCTCCAAAATAAAACCTGAGAGAACCTAAGACTTAGACCAACCAGCTTTACATAACCAATAAGAAAAGGACCAAGGCACACAGAATACAAACAGAAGCATACTTCAAATTAATTTTCATATCAGAATCATAAACAACAAAAGAAATTCATGTGCCAAAATCACAATGAAAGAATAATAAAATGGAAAGCCAAAACACTACATCCCCACCAAACTCCACCAGTCCTATAGAAGAGTTCTACAAGGAAAAACCACTAGATATAATCCAGGATATAGAATTTAAAAGAACAATCATAAACATGATCAAGGAATTCAATGAATTTAAAGAACACACACACACACACACACTAATTAAGCAAATAAATAAATAAATGCAAAATATCCTTAAGAAATGGAGAGAGATAGAAATTTGAATGCTAACTCAGATATTTGATAATATTGAGAATTAATGCTCATCATTTTTTTGTTTTTGTTTTTGAGACAGGGTCTCACTATGTCACTGTGGCAGGCCTGCAACTTACTATGTAACCAGGCTGGCCTCGAATACACAGGGTTCCACCCACCTCTGCCTCCTGAGCGTTGGAATTAAAAGCATGCACCACCATGCCTGGCCATGCTCATCTTTTTAAGAAGACATAATAAAATTGCAGTTAGAATTTTTGTAAAAAAGTCATAATTTAGAGTTATATACTAAAACAACAGTGAAGGGAATCATGTGTTAGCTGGAATTTGCTTTGAAATAACCTGATTATCATTCCATAGGCAATGACAGGCAAGGGAGAGATGAAATATCATCCTGCCAGGTGTTGACTAGTATTTATTACACTATTCTTTCTACTTTCCATAATGAGAGTTTTAAAACTAGTAAAAGTAATGAATCTGCATATGGGAGGAACAAACAAAAACAATAAAGAAATTTAAAAAGTACTAAACAGATTATTATAAATAATTAAAATATCCTTCTTTTCCTAAGCAGGACCCTAAAAACCACTGTACCACTCACTGCAACAATTAAATTTCTGAAATAAGACTTTTTTCTCATTTGGCACTGGGATGTGGGCCATCTAGGTGTCCCGTCTGCTCTCCTTTTAGAGTAGAAGGTGACAGTGAATTCCAGATTCTCCTGTTCCCACGTCCCTAGTGCTGGTTTTACTGGTCTGTGCCACCCATATCCAGCAAACATTTTCATTTGGTGCATATTCAGCAGTATGTAAAAACACTTGAAATACTGTAAACATTCTTATTTATTTTCCAACTTCCTTTATATACCATTTGACACCACCGTGTAGATTAACTCGTTGATTAAAGTAAATAATAAAAGCTTCTACTTGACAAAACATACAGTATTTGGAATAATAAAACAATATTTAAAAACTTGGTGTTAGAGAAGATGGCTCAGTCTATAAAAATACCTCAGTGCAAGCATGAGGACCTGTAAAAGTTGGGCATGGTACCACTACCCTGGAGAATGGAGACAGGTAGACCCCAGGGGCTCAATGCTTTCCCAGTCTAGCCAATCTGTGAGCTCTGGGTTCAGTGACAACACTGTCTCAAAAGATAAGGGAGGGGCTGGAGAAATGGCTCAGCAGTTAAGAGCACTGGCTGCTCTTGCGAGGACCCATGTTCAATTCTCAGTACCCATATGGTGGCTGACAACCATCCATAATTCCAGTTCTAGGGGATCCAACACCTTCTTCTATCCTCTGTGGGCATTGCATGACACAGGTATGCTTACATACATACAGGCAATATACTCATATACATAAAATAAAAATAATAAATAATGAATACAAAAGTAAAAAAAGACAAACAATGGGGAAGATACCCTACTTGGGGTCTCCATAAGCCTACATATGTACACACCAATATACTACACACCAATACACTACACAAAAATACACCACACAGAAATACACCATACGCACACCACTCACAAACACACTATACACATACCACACACACAAATACACTGTACACAACAAATATATGTATATATAGTGAAAAAATAATAAAGCTAAAAAGAAAAAAACTTCATATGATTCAAGCTTTTCATGATGTGATCAGCACTTTTGTGCTTGAAAATTCTGAGGTGATCCCATTTTAGATAAAAGAAGGATCAGACATCTGGGGGATACTCTAGCAATGAGGTTCTTTTGTCTCTAGTTTTATTTTGCTTTTTTTTTTTTTTTTTTTTTTTTTTTTTTGGTTTTTTTGAGACAGGGTCTCTGTGCTGGATAGCTTTAGTGTCAACTTGACACACCTGGGTTGAGGGAGCCTCAACTGGGGAATTTCCTTCATTGGACTGGCCTGTGGCCATGTCTGTGAGGCATCTTCTTGATTGTTGTGTGATGTGGGAGGGCCTAGTGCATTGTGGGTGCTGCCACCCATGGGCATATGGGCCTGTTTTGAATAAGAAAGCAGGTTGAGCAGGGGCCAGGAGAGCAAGCCAGTAAGTAGCGTTCCTCCATGGCCTGTGCTCCAGCTCCTGCTTCCAGGTTCCTGTCCTGAGTTCCTACCTTGGGCTCCTGATGAACTGCGACCTGGGAGATATAAGCTGAATAAACCCTTTCCTCCCCAAGTTGGTATTGGTCAGAGTGTTTTGTCACAGCAATGAAGAGAACAAACCAGGACAGTCTCCCTGTAGCCCCAGCTGTCCTAGAACTCACTATGTAGACCAAGCTGGCTTTGAACTCACAGAGATCCGCCTGCCTCTGCCTTCCGAGTGCTGGGATTAAAGGCGTGTGCCACCGAGCAATTTTAAGCATAAAACATTTACTACTTACTTGGGGAACCACTTGGCATGCTCCTTCCAAGGATCATCTCCTTCTTCCCAATTCCCTAGGCATCCACCACAGGAGAAACACTGCACAGTGTCCCTTTTACCTACAAATGAAGGAGAGCCGCATCAGGTGTGTCCTTGCAGGTGAATGACTGTTCCAGAACAAGACAGACTCCAGCATGCCTGTTCTTCCATGACTTCTCTGGCTGAATCTCTGTCCATAGTCCCACTGCCCTAAATGACCAGTTCTGAGCTCTGGACCTCCATCCCCCAGCACGGCCACCCTTCATATGCACAGCATTTGAAGTTCACACAGAGTTTACATATGATAAGTGGTCAAGCAGTGCAAAACACATAGGAATTTTTCCTTCATAATAGTAAGAAAATAGCATAGCAGCCCAAGGCCATGGCAACTGACCCAGTAACAGACCTCCCTTGGTATAAGTGAAGATGGGAGGGGCATGTCAACCTATTCCCCAGAATTCCAGAAAAGCAGCTGTCTAATCCGACTGCTCCCAGTATTCTGGGAGCAGACTGGGAGCAGACTCCCCCCTCCTCAAGCCTCCCCACCAACAAAGCCTGAGGACATCTGTTAACTCTTAGTGAGCCAAGTGCCAGGAGCCTGTTAACTATTAATGAACATGGGGCTATTGTCTTTAAGGGACAAGGAGGGTGGCTATAAAAGAAAAGTGTCTTTTTACTTTATATATATGGAAAACTAATAACGCTATCCTTAAAAGTACAAAACAAAATTACTCAAGTTGAATTTTAATGAAATAAACATATCCAATAATACAACACAGTTAACAAATGGGGATTAACAAAATACTGCAAAAAATGTAACCTACACTTTAAACTCCACAGAAACACTTCAGACAATGGTTTCCTTACCTGTAAAGACAAAGCCAGCCGCTGACAGTGCACGTGGGGATGTCCCGTGGGCATAAAATGGCCAGTTCTGGAAGGACTCCAGTCTGGCCTCCTCTGCTAGGAACCTGGCTTTGCCCCCTCTCAGCATCTTCTCTGGACTCCTGACCCTCACGTCATATTTGCCAATGTTACCGACATCTTTGCCCAAAAGGAACTCGCACTCTGGACGAAATTTCTTGTGGCTTTCTATGGGAAGTCTCCTGAGGCTGGTACGAAAGAGGATTAAGCTACAGCAGAAACACTGAACCCCAGATTTCACCCCGGTGAAGTAAAACCCAGCAGCCACCATCTCCTGTGGCGTCCACGAGCTGTAGGAGTCATAGGTGACAAAAGTCTTTAATCGCTTTGCTTCGCTGCGCATCTGTGCGTTAAAGCCTTTCTGCATTCTCATTCTTTCTTTATGTGCTTCTTCTTCCTCCTGCTTTGCCAGCTGAACTGCATCGACTCCAAGAACAGAGAGCTCAGGGAGAAGATCATAGTCACACTCGGAAATCCTCTCCTCTGAGGCCTCCCCCTGGGCAGCCATTTTCTAAAAGGGAAAGAAAAGCAGATGATTGATGATAGAAATGTTGAGGAAACTTCTAGGAGTAAAGTAGCCGAGTTAGGTGAAGAGAGGAAGTTTATTTACTCCAGTGAACTGACAGGAGGATCATTCTGTAATGGCGCCAGGCCGGAGCTGAAGTTTGTAGGGAAATTTATAGAAAGCAGGATGTTCCAGAAGCATTTATGGGCTAGTTAAGCAAGCAGTTACGCAATACCATGTGGTTACAAATGATCACAAGAATGTAGCAGTTTGGCAAAGATTTCAATAGCGGGTAGACGGGTAGATGTAATAAACCATACAGCCAGGGCAGAGTCTTGTTCATCTTCCTCATTCTTATTTCTTCCTATCTCATCTAGGGGGCCTTCAATGGTCAAGGTTCTTAACACACATCACATTGTTAGTAAATTTTATTGCCATCATAATAATGTTTTTATTGACTCAGGGCCCATGAGATGACTCTGGAAGTTTGTCTGTGACCTCCACAAGGGCACAGTCTCTCTCTCTCTCTCTCTCTCTCTCTCTCTCTCTCTCTCTCTCTCACACACACACACACACACACACGATGTAATTTAAAAATTTAAAATAAAGACTATGTTCTCAGTTTCTGAAGAAGGTAGAAATTAGAAATGCCTGGAAGACATTTCTAATTCTTCAAAAAAGTTGTTTGAGAAATTATAAAACATCAGTATTTATCCACTTATTCAACAAATTGCTAGCACCTACTTGTGCCTCAAGCTATAGGCTAGGCCTTGAGGCCCAATAAAATGAACAAGGCAGACTGACCTGACTCCACTCACGAAGCCCTCCAAATGGCCTTTTGTGTATTTGTTTTTCTGAGCTAGAGCCTTGCCACCCTAGTGTTGCTATCTATGCTAGCCTAGAACTTGTGGTTGAGGCAGGCAAACTTGGGAAATAGTTCAGCCTGAAACCCTATTTGATTTTGGTTATACATACCTCTCCTTGTAATATTCCACTACCTCCCTCCCTGTGCATACTGTGCACATATACTCCTCTTTTTTATCTCAACAAGCACTGGGCTCTATGTACTCTTAACTCTGAATAATAGTGTAGGCTTTCCTACCCCTGGCAGGAATCAAATTTAGACAGTCTCTATTCAAAGTTCCTTCCCAGTGTTTTAGGTAGGAAGAGTGGAAAGGTTCATTTGGCCTAAACTGGTTTGGGGTGCATGTGCAGGAGATAAAACTGTATCCTCACATAAAATTTATGGAGACTCTCATATTTACCATTTTATGTTTATGCATAAATGGGTGTGCATGTGGTTAAAATCAGATGCATTATAGGAAGGAGCATGTGTAGGGACCAATTAAATAGTTAATCAATCCTCTTCCTGTTTTTACCATTGGAGCACTGGGTTTACAGGTGTGCACCACCTTGCCTGGTCTTACAATGTTCTTCAGGTAAGAACAGAAGATATAAACTGGTCAGGCAGTTTTAGGACAGGGATCTTGAAAATGTGCAGATTCCTTGACCAGAAGCCAGAAATAGCCAGACTGACTTGACATCCAACTCTTGAATGATTTTAGAGTCTCAGCCCTAGAGAGGGGAATGGGATTAGTAAACTTGGAGGCCATCGATGATAGATCTGTCCCTCAGGGTTGGCTTTGGGCATTACCTCCCATTTTCCTGACAATTCTAGAAGAGAAACATTACAGAATCACTTCTTCCTGGTCTAAAGAATGAAATCTGAATTCTACCTCTCACCCAATGACATTCTGATCTGCTCCAAAGATTAGAATATAATGTATTACTGTCCTCTTTTTAAAGAGTTAATCCAATTAGGCCTATCAGTCATCTGTCCAGGAGCCCATCCTACAGGAAATCTGATTCACTTGAAGACCTACTAAGGAGATGGGAGGCACAGTTATCCCCTTAGTGAGATGATGCACTTACACTTCCCAGAAGTCCTCCCGATGCAGTTGCTTCTGGAGCTTCCTCCACACAATACCACTAAGCCTGTCCAGTTTTTTGAATTGTAACTCCAAATCTGTAAGTTTTCCTTTTTTGCACACTAAATCTGCCTAACCTTCACCCTTTGCTGACTTCCATTGCTGAACCTGCCTGTTTTCCTGGACCCTAACTCAAAAGCATGGCTTTCTCTTCTTTATCTCCCTGATCCTGGCAGCTGAGATCTACAGCTTGCCTGCCCTGCCCTTTTCTCTCAAACTCTAGTAAAATGATCCTTGAACTTCCCTGAGTCTGTTTAAAATTTTATTTTTATTAAGGAGACTAAGAACTGCAACAGGAAACCCCAATTTTCCTGGTCACATATGAATGTGTGTGTGTGTGTGTGTGTGTGTGTGTGTGTGTTTGTGTTTGTGCATTTTGCACAAATGCCACAGGGTTCTTGTGGAGGTCAGAGGATAACTTTTAGGAGACAGTTTCCTCCTTCTACCCTCCATCAACAGTAGGCTGGGGATCAAACTCAAGTCATCAGACTTGGAAGGCAAGCTTTCCTTTACCTTTACCCACTGAGCCATCTTGCCGCCACCCCCATCCCATTTTTTAAATTCAGTGACATGTCTTCACTTTTTAGTGGCTTAATTACTCCCCTAATATGGAACATTTAAACCATTACCATTATTTTCTTCATCAATAAAAAGTTCAGATGCTTTAAAAAATACTTCCCCTGGTTTTATTATTTCCTCAAAATAAATTTCTGAAAGAAGAGTTGCTGGGTCAATCACGTACATACTTTTAAGGACGGTGATATATGTCATCCACTGGCTATGGACAATGCTTATCTGAGGTCCTTTTAGCAGCACTGTAGGGTCCTGCTTCTTCCTCAGATGGTGTCCTGCAGTAGGATTTCACATATCAGCATTTATATCTTTTTGTAACAGAACTTAAAGTCTACTAACAACCAAGAACTGTTTCTCCAAGGGAAAAGACCTGTCAGAATCTTAACGATTTTTAGTCTAACATTCCAGTGGCCATCCTGGGTGCCAGTCATGGACTTTAGTCAGAGGCACAAGTAAAAGGCAATACTTCTTTGAACATGAGGTTGTGTGATTCCTTCAGAACCAGCTGAACACAATGGCTCTTTGAAGGTTCCTGCCTTGAGTTCCTACCTTGGCCTCCCTCAGGATGAACTGTGACCCAGGAGTTGTAAGATAAAATAACCTTTTCCTCTTCAAGTTAGTTTTGGGTAGTGTTTTATAATAGCAATAGAAAGATAACCAAGACAATCAGTAATTTGGAATCATCAACACAATGAAGCAGTGATTTCCAATGAAATAAAGTTGATTTAAATAATCATTGATTTTCTGTGGTAACTATGAGAATTCAATATCCTATAGGAGCATCTTAAATGTACATTTGTGACCTTTCCACTTGTGTAAATTAATTTTGGCTTTTTTCTAAAATGGGAATAGAAAAGAAAGTATGTACTAACTTCGTAACAGAACATTGATACCCCTTAGCTTGCTGTGCTTTTCCCTTCTCTTAAATTTCTATTTGTTTGTGTGTAAGCAGCAAGAGTAAGTTTCAGGAGTTGGTTCTTGCCTTCTACTTTGTCGAGGGAGCATCTTTCTTCCTTCTGTCGTATGTCGTGTACCTCAAGCTAGAGGGTTCAAGAGGTTCTGGGAAATTCTGTGTCTACATTCTATTTTGCCTAGGATTACTGAGGTGTGCCGTGGCATCTTTCTTTTCAGGAGGGTAGGTTCCAGGCGTGGAACTCTCACCTTTAATGGGTGAGCCATTTCCTCAGGCCCTCTTGTTTTTTGTGTGTGTTTGCTTTTATGAGATGTATCTTGTGATGTAGTCTTGCCTAGCCTTGAAATCATGGCACTCCTTTCTCCTAAGCCTCCTCAGTGCTGGGATAACTTACTGTTTCTATGGCTTGTTTTGAGACAGGGACTCACCATGTAGCCTCCTGTCTCCTGATCCTCCTGCTTCCACTTTCTGAGACTTTGGATAAAGGTCTCTATCATGTCCAGATATCACAACTGCTTCAAAAAGACTACAGATCCTGCTTTTGTGTGATTAAGTTTCTTTTATCAAGACTACAATAAATTAGAAATTTCATGTAGTACTTTGACAGCTTGAGGAGTTGGTGGAACAGACAATTAACCACTGTAATGAATGATCTTGCAGTGACCTATTGAAATTTTGGTCATAACTATTTTTTCCCTCTTTTTTTTTGGTGTCATTTCTAATTAGTCACCCAAACATTACTGTAACAGTGAGAATGCTCTTTTTAAGTCAATAAATCAAGTCTCAAGATCTTTTTGTCCCTTTTATTCTCATTATTTCTTTTCTTATGAATGATACTAATCTTTTGTTCATCATTCAGCACAATGTGAAGCTGTTCAAGCTCAGTCTACAATAGCCTCTCCCATCTATTCCCTCAACATCCGGGTCACATGTAAAGTCCAACCATTTACAGTACTTCTTATCACAGCATCATTTAAGTCAGAGGCATAAAACTAGGAACACCTTAGAGTTAGTAGATGACCAGTCCACAGGTGCTTGCTTGCAGTCTCAATATTTCAGTAATCCCAAAAGGAGTAGCCAATTCAAAGCCTTTGGTAGAGTTGGACAGGTCCCCTTTACAAGATGTTTCATGCAGCCCACATTGATCTACTTCTCCCAGTTTGGAATTTGCCTACTTACCCACATTTCTGTAAAAGCTGCAGTAAATTGAAGGTTGTCATTTGGTCATTTGTTTTGTTTCGTTTGTTTGTTTGAGGGATAAAAATGTTGCTAACTCTCCAAATTTGACCTCAAAGTTGAGATCCTCTGACTCAACTCCCTGAGTACTGGGATTACAGGCATGTACTACCAAACCCAGGTAAGCTGAAGATCTTTAAGATCAAGCACACTTTCTCTTTTTAAAAAA